AGAAATAAGGAGAGAATACGTCATCGATTGCGGCGCATCACACTGCACACATACTGCAAACTTGCTAGTATCAAGAGAAAATGAAAATAAAGTGATAAGGGTGACACTAAGGAAATTAGTTGATGGTCAGGATACTCAATCATATGATTTTAATCAGGTAAATTATTTCATATTATTACAATAATTGAATGCAATGTACTAACATTCTATTATGACATTTATACAGCTTACTGAAGACTATCCAAAAATATTAACTCCAGATAATATTTGGATTCTTGGTATTACTCAGAAGCCATCTACTCAAAGTTATTATCTGGTATTCTACTCTGATTTATGCTCAGTCTTGGATAAAGACCTGCAGCTTCTTAGATATGTGTCACTTATGCCATTTGAAGATTTTGATGAAATTAAAGAGCTTGGCCATGGTGGTTATGGGACTGTATATATTGCCAAAAGTAAATCATTTAATCAACAAGTTGTTCTGAAAAAGTACAAGGACTTTGATCAAACAGCAGAGTTATTTATTTCTGAAGTAAGTAAACATAATAATTGTTTAATGTCATCTTTATTATTAATTTGCTTATATAATTTATTATTAAATGTCCTGTTAATAATAGTTTAGGAATCATGCTGTGTGTTCAAACAAGATATCTAAAAGGTTTCTTATAATCTATGGAATCACACAACAACCAGACACAAAAGAATTTATGATTGTTATGCAATATGCTAACAATGGTAATCTTTCAGATTATTTGGACAAGAATCTTACAAGCTTGACATGGAATATGAAATTGCTGCTTTTGAAGGATATTGCAAATCATCTACAGAGCATTCATGAGAACAAATTAATACATTGTGATCTCCATGGTGGAAATATAGTTTTCCATAATAAGAAGGCTACAGATCATTTAAGTGAGCCATTTATATGTGATCTTGGACTTTCTCAGCCAGTAAATTCATCCAAGTCTGGCTCTTCAAGTGTTCAAGGTGTTTTACCTTATATTGCACCAGAAGTCTTTCATACACATGAATTCACTCAGGAATCAGATATATATGCATTTGGCATTCTCATGTATCAAATGGCCAGTGGTGAGCTGCCTTTCAGAGATAGAGCATTCAATGAACATTTGGTGAGAAATATCTGTAATGGGTTGCGACCAATTATGCCTGATTCAGCACCAGAGCCATATAAGAAACTTGCTGAGAGCTGCTGTGATGCCATTCCTAACAATCGACCAACTACAAAGCAGTTGCTAAATCTTATTATTGATCTAATTGAAAAATCAGAAATAGATAAATCTAGTGACAATATATGGAACACTATCTATTCTAACAAGAATATAAAGCCTTTGTCATATATTGAGAAGAAAACCAAATATTCTAGCAAGTTGTTACCAACTGGAAATTTGCCCAGACCAAGAAATAATTATAATGTTGATTCAGGTGCAGGTATGGAATGTTGGTTTATAATGTTATTTATAGTATTATTCCATTAACTTTGTTATTTATTATTATTAGGCTTTGAAGATGATGATTTTGTGGTCTCAGATGAAATTATAATTCATGGTATAGTTTTTTTTTTTTTTTTTTTTATTTCTGTCTCAAGTTAAACTGTATTGCCATTGACTTTATAAGTGATTAATTATCTGTAATGATTTAGATTCAAAACAGGCTAATCTTGTTCTTCCTGACAACACTATTTGACTTGAAAAGTATCTTGAATGAATTACTAAGTATAAGAGGAAGAAAAATTAGGATTTAAACATGTCAGTCTTTTAATTTTCTTTTCTGCTCTCCATGTACAGTTTCCTTTTCTTAATTACTATGTGATCTGTAATGCTCTTCCTTTGTCAGTATTTTTGTTGAAAAGGTTTGGAATATAACTTGAGCTTTTGAAGATTTCAAGTTACAAATGCTGTGTGTAGCACTTGGTGTTATTATTTTATCTGGTCATCTATTTATTATTTATATAATCAGTGCTAAAGTAGTCCTATATAACTTGAAGTAGATTGGTTGTTCTCTGAAACTACATTTGGGTGAACAAGTAAATATGCTTGCCTTACAAATTTAAATGTCATTCACATGCATTAATTAGCATGCTGATTATAATTGCCTTACAAGGGTTAGTCTGAAATTGTAAGACAATCTCAGTCTCTGATTGTAAAAAAAATCTAGTTTTGGCATTGCTTGAAAGCACTTTAAAAAACAAGCAAGTTATCTTACTTTGATTATAAATTATTACAATTACTTGCTTTTGTTACGGGAGCTGATCTGATGAATCAGATAAGTAAGTCACATGATAAAATCTTCCACAGTCAAGCAACTAATAGTTCAGTATACGGAGATTAATTTAGTAGCATGTGACAGCACAACGTTTAAATTAATTATTTTTTATAGTATAATAATCTGTAGGAGCATGTCGTTTTTCTTGCGACGCAAAAGATCTCTTCCTCCATCGTCAAATCTTTATGTTGTGTGAACATCGAACGTGAAAGTTATTATCAAATAAAAATGATAATACTATTGATCTGAGTAAAAATCCTTATTTGCCAATATACAATTTATTCTCTATCGTCGAAATAATTGATTATTAAACCGGTCACTCCAAATAAACGGCTCACTTAAGCTGTAACGGAATAGCATTGATTTGATTAAGCTAACAAGCTGTCCGCTGATCAATTACGTGAATAACGGAACGAGAGTTCATAATTAATTATCGAGGCGATTGATTGTTTAATTAGTTTAGTAAAGACAAAGTGACAGATACCGACTAGTCGACAAACAAATCGAAGATAGCCCTGTTTATATTATTCCCCTTCGATTCTTTAATAGAATAATTGTTGTTATTATTCTATTAGAGGCACCCTTATTTGTATTCACGAGTGTCTGAAACTTGGATATGCGCATAATTAATTAAGGTCACTTGTAGGCTTAATTCAGTCTTGATTGTACAACTATTGTAGTAAGGGCGATAGGACGAGCTAAGCCTGGTAACATCCCCGGTCGGCGAACACATCTACGCGAAAGATAAATCGCTCTCCCAAACCCGACCATAACACTTTAGCACACCAGTTACATAACCAAATTCCATTACCATAAGATGTGTGATCTCTGTTCATGTACAATACTTATTAGTATTATTTTTTTTTAAGTATATCTATTTTAGTCTACTTTATGCAATAATTAACTTCCAAAGTGCTAATTGGAATAGAAAAATAATCCAACTTTCTAAGAATGTATTCGTTTCTACCAAAATCGGGATATTAATTATTTGGATATAACGTGTGAGTTTCAACTTCCATGTCCTTTATACCCCAGAAGTAAATCTCGTTGCAATGAAACTGTATGTTTGGCGTTGTTTGTTATTATACAAAAAGCTTTGAACACATAAAGAGCTTCTGTAAATAGCAAAAATTAAACCCCTTCCTTTTTCCTGTAAATCCCGATATTTGTTTAATCTAAAAATCTTTTACTAAATAAATTAATCCATCGTTGCATCACATAATAATAAGACTGTTTGTCATTGATAAATCGTCACATGATAACTAACTATTAACATTCTTGAATTCTCTTCTGTGTCACAGACTTTAATATTAATTACTCTTTTTGCCAATGTTTATTAACCACGTTTATTTGGTTTTATAACGTGGTAATAATAATACTTTATTTTTACGTTGTTTACCTGCCCATGACCAGAATCTGTTTAATAAATGTTACACGGGTAAATTCTGTCGCGCAAATGTCATTTAATCTACAATCACTTCACTTTTGTTTTTGACTACTCATAACAATATCAATATGCTACAAACTTCCTCCCGTAAGTACGCGTAATATTCCGAGTAACAGTTCTTCAATGTGTAGCTACTATGTCGTATTTCCTCAAAGATGAAATTCTTGGTAGTGACAGAGACAAAGCAAGTTTCGCTTCCCCCCCAAAAAAAGAGGCGTGATGACCTCGTGCTACCACATGATCATTATTGAACAATTTAGGAAACGAATATATGCACTCTAGATAGGAACACGACGGTTGGAATCTTAATTTCAATTTTTAATTACAAAAATTAGATCTAAATTCATCAGAATCTTCTCCGTGGAAACGAAAAATCGAACCTGTCATGTTGAGGGTTGTTGAACATTAAGAGCATTTTTGGAAAGGAAAACGTCATTGTGCGTTGTGAGTATGAAGAGAAATGACGGTAGCAATGATGGGAATGTGACGGTCATTTGAGAGGACAAGAAGGTCATTGATCTATGACGGACGAATGTTGGGAGATTGTGGTTAATATGGTTATTGGTATGGTGATGGATATGGTAATCTGTATGGCGATTGATTTGGAGATGGTGAATTGATGCGATTGAGATACAGTACGCATGACTAAAAATTTGTAAAATCACCACGGAACAAATATTTCCCCAAACGTTGGACGGCGGGCTGCTCGCTTAGAACTAGAGTATATAAAGTTTTATAGAAATTTGTGAAAATCAACTGTTATTACGTATCCACCCACCCCCCAAATGCAACAAGCATATGTGAACAGTGAATATGTATGTACCATCTCTTATGCAGCAGATGATCTTGAATCATCGCACCACTGCCCTGCACCCTAGCTAACCGGATTTTGACGGTCCCAGGGTTAAAGCCGTAACACTAACAAATGAACTTTATGAGGACCACGATCATTCGGATCGACGTCAAACGGTTCGAGATAAATACAAAACGTCACCCAACCTTGTCGATTCGTAAAATATCTTTCACGTTGCTAGCTGGCTACTGTTAAATCGAGACAAAAATGAGGAAAAAGGTAATTGATGGCTAAGAATGAGCTGCGAGTGTCCTGTCACATACTAGTCACTATGTGTACAGCGGCCAGCATGTCAGCATATACAAGTAATGCTGCGATCTTGAAATGTCTTTTGCATGGCAACAATTCATCTATTACAAGTCTCTTTACTTGACGCTCAAGCATGTTTATCGTTTCCCTTGGTTACAGATACTATTAATGGGTAAAAGTGGTGCGGGCAAGACTTCCATGAGAAGTATCATATTTTCCAATTATGTTGCAAGAGACACACGACGTCTAGGAGCAACAAGTGAGTAGTAGAACAGTAGTGAATTTGGTGATAATGGGTTGCAAAGGAAGAAGGAAAGGAAAGTAAAGAAAGAAAGGAAAGAAAGAGGGTATTGTTAAGCGTGAGTAGGTAAGTAATGAGAAGGGGGGAACAAGAGCAAGAAGAAATAATGTGAATAATAAAAAAAAACGTTCAGTGGAGTTTCAATTAACCCATTTACATTAGTATACAATTATTTGATTCCTTCATTCTGATCAAAACTGAAAGACTTCCCCCTTCTCACAAACTCATGTCTACGTGCTTTTCTTTCTTTATTCTTCGATTTTCTCTTCACCTCCCGCTCTCTATGTGTACGCGGAGTATCTTCCAGCAGAGGAATCTTGTAATGCTGAACAAACGGACTTTTTTCTTTCTTGCCTTTTTCCTTTTGTTTGTCAAACAAAAACCGTTTACTTATTACCGTTTTCAAATTCTCGCTAGTCGACGTTGAACATTCACACGTGCGATTCTTGGGAAATCTTACGCTCAATTTGTGGGATTGTGGAGGGTACGTGTCAGACTGCTCGTTGGAGAAAGAACGAGAGAAATGAACATGCAATTATGCATATTATAATGCCTTTTTGCAATTTCTCGTTTATCCATGCTTTTTTACTCATGACTTTTGCTTCTTCATTCGAATTATAGTCAAGACGCATTCATGGAAAATTATTTCGCCACCCACCGTGACCAAATATTTAGCAATGTGGAAGTTTTGATCTATGTGTTTGATGTAGAGTCAACCGACAAAGATAAAGACATGCACTACTATCAAGATTGTTTAGAAGCTATTTTGGAATACAGTAAAGACGCGAAAATATTCTGTTTGATACACAAAATGGATCTCGTGCAGGAGGGTTCAAGGGATAAAGTACGTAAACTTGACTACTGGCCAGATGGGGCAATGGGATTGATGAGATTGGTTTTTTAACGTGAGATTATTGCTACCAATACAGATATTCAACGACAGATGGAACGAGTTGAAGGAAAGAAGTAAACCATTACACATCTCCGCATATGCTACGTCTATATGGGACGAGACATTATACAAGGTTGATCATTCTTGTTGGAGAGAGAGTGCTACCAAAGTCTTTCTATATGTTTTCTATTGGGGCTTGTATATTCTGCCCACCATCCCATACCTCATCCACTTCAACATTCTCATCTGCTCCCTCTCTGTTATTAATAGGCCTGGTCTTCAATAGTCTATTCCCTAATTCCCAACGTAATTCAGCTCGAAGAACGACTCACAAATTTTGCTGAAATTTGTGAAGCAGACGAAGTAGTCTTATTCGAGCGTACTACATTCTTGGTCATATCGCATTCGAGCAACATTGCGCATACAGACGTTCACCGATTTGAAAAGATTAGCAACTATATCAAGCAGTTTAAATTGAGTTGTAGGTGAGTGTTTTGAGAGTAGCCAAATCGCGGGTGGCCAAAGACTGTCATCATCTTTTGTACATTTTCATATTATTAACATGTGTCTCATCTCGTTCCTTTATTTAGCAAGTTTCAAGCTCAATTCAAGAGTATGGAGATGCGGCAACCAAATTTTGCCGCATTTTTTGATGTGCTAACGTCGCATACTTATGTAATGGTCATTATGTCCGATACGTCAATCGGTGAGCAACTAATTCATGTGAACATGTAGATCAAGCCCCAATTCGTATACATATTATATGCGCTTCCCCTCATATTCTCTTCCTTTTTCTCTAGAATCGGCTGTTACGCAGACGAACATTGCAGTAGCTCGAAAATACTTTGACGAGTTAGAAGATGGCCTCATAAACTAGACTGATTTTCTCGGTTACGGATAGGAGAATTGTCATACTGTAGAGTACGTAAACTTTGAAAAGACATCTTTTGCTTTCTCTTCCTTCATCTGCTTTAATACCCAACCATCATTTGCGCTTGTCTTTGAACTTTGTGGAGTTTATCTTAATTTTTAATGTTTTATTATGTTTATCGATTCATTCCTTGTTTATATAAAATATACATAAAAACTTAATTACTATGATCACGATCGACGTGGTTTGATTTATATCTTCTTCTTTTTTTTTCCTTTTTTTTTTCTTTTATCCCAAGGAAGAGAACAAAAATATCGTATATAAATATCGTATAAATAGATCAGAAATAAAATAGGCGTAGATATAGACGAAAAGGAAGGATAAGATAGAGATGTGTTCTTATTGCATATTGAAATGCAATATTGTCATCACACTGTGGACAAAAGACAGTGCTCTTATCTTCAACCTGCCTATTACATAATAAATTCTCCTCCGTTCTCAAACCATCAACTCCACTTTTGGCTCTTCAGTGATATTTCTGCAAATCTCTTGATTGCAATCCCTCGCTCCCTTGTACATACTCCCCGTATAGCTTCCTGTGACCAACATTACTGTCATCTTCGTCACTCGGATTAGGTGGTTGCAACATGGGTGCACTCCGGCCTCTCAAAGACTTGGGCAAGAAATACCGTGCATATCCCAAAATAGTCACAGTGATATTCAACGGCAAAAACATTACTTGCATCATGGAATTTGGTAGACTCGCTACTTGGTCATCCTGAAGTCTATACGTAATGATTGAGTCGAATTCTCGAAGTTTTTCCTCGAGATAGGCAAACCGTTCGTCCGAATACGTCCGAAGACATGCCTCTTTTTTCTCGCATCGACGCATAGCCTTGTTGAGTTGACTCAATGTCGGTTCGAACCCGTCGCGCACTTGGATGACATCGCGTTTTGTGGCAAAGCCTCGTCGTAGTTGCGAAAACTCGTATTCCAGATGTTGGACTCGTCTCTTTAGCAATTCTACTTCGGTGCTAGGGTAATGTACTTGTTCTTGCAAATGAAGTGTCTTGTTCTTGGCCAGTGTCGCAATGTGCATCAAAGGCCTTATTCCGGCTGCAAAGACAAACAGGTTGATGTTGAAGTGTGTAATGTATTTGTCGTAATCTGTAAGAGACATTTTGGCAAAATGAAGAGCGTAGCCGCCGAGAATTGGAGATGCAACGACCAGAGCAAGTGCGTGTCTTTCCTGTTTTCGAAGATCTTTTGCGGCGGCGGCGCGTTGTTCTTCGAGTTGCGGGTCGGATGGAGTGTTTGACTCGTTTATTACTCTCCGCGAACGCGCAGCGTAGTAGAGTTCCCATGGAACTATATGAGGTGGAATTGTGAAATAAAGGTTTTGAGGGGAAGAATAGGTCGTTTTGTTGGGATTCGTATATGTAGAGGTGGGTGGAAATAAGTTGAGTGAATTAAAAGGTTAATATCATATAAAAATTAATATGTGATAATGTGTTCATATACACGTAGAATAACATTGAATATCAAACATACTATCACTTGTACATTCTTGTCAATATTATTCGTTCGCCACTAGCATTCACTATCCTCCCACAAGCCCACCTCTCCCCTCCTTCCTTATACTTGCCTTTTATAATATTGTACAAATAAAAAGCAATCAATAATAACAGCAAGAAATCACTCCACACGTCCGACTTTCCATAGACCAATGCTCCCATAGGCGGGATAACAGCAAATACAATGGGCCAACTATACGCATGAGTCGAAAAAGCCTCTGATGTCGGATCTCGCAATATTTCCGTAGGGGGTCCTGTTGCATAATCACGTTCAGGAGGCGAAGAAGTAGCAGGCGACGGACGATAGGTTTTGCGTTCTTGACGATGGTTTTGCGGTGTAGAAGAAAATGTCGGATTTCCATTTGGATTGGTGAAGGAAGCCGAGTTCGTACTACTACTATTTAGACCATCGAGCTTGCCCAACCTTGAAATGTTATCACCGCTATCCTCTCTCTTGTTACCACTATTCTTGTTACCGCTATTCTTGCTACTTAATGCAAAAGTGCTGCTCTCTTTGCGTATCCCATTCAATGCAGGGGCAGATTCGTTACTGTGTGAAAGAGACATCATATTGGTTTCGTACAGGTTTTCCATGCTCGTTGCCTTCTTTGCTTTACGTGATCTTAATTGTTTATCTGTTTCCGGATAAAGCGAAGCGGGAGGCCGTTGATGCGGAGAGGTTAAGATTTCTTGTGAAGCCACCACTAGGTCGTTGTAATTCATTTATAATATAAATGACGTGGCGGTAGGGGAAAAGGGGGGGAAAGTGGGAGAGAGAGAAAGAGAGGGAGAGTTTGGGCAGGATACAAATGGATAAATGTTGGTAAAATTCAAATAATGCGCTAAACTCGCGAGCCCAAAGTCCAAGTTGCAAATGACAATGTATTACGGGGAGGGAATGTATAGTACTTCTACAATTATGTTTAATGCTCGCTAATTTTTTTTTGTATGAGAGGATATTTTTTGCCCGCTTCTTTGCTCGCTCTAAGTTCTGGATGATGATGAAAAAGTAAGGTTGCTTGATTGACAGCAATGGGGGGTGGGTTAAATTTGATTTTGGGAATTAGTTGGGATGGATGAGCATGTGATGTCATCTGCATTCGGTTGTATAAAACGAATTCATAATGATAACATTGAAAGTTTACAATACGCAGACATATAGCATATCCCAACCATTTATGACAAGTGCAATTACCTATTAACTCGATTACCCAGTCCGCCCTTTGCTGGCCGCGTCTTGTGTGTGTCTGAGACTAAACCTTATCCTCCTTGTAAAGATGGCATTGCTATTTGTTGGTAGTAAAGATGATGTCATTTAGACCCTTACAAAGAAGAGAAGGAAAAAGGTGTGGGGTTTCAGGTTGTTTATAAACAGTAGAGTAGAGAGTGTGGAGTGAGGGAAAGAAAGGCGTGGCGTAGTATGCATATGTATATTTATTACAATAGCGATATAAAGAGTGGTATTATCGGTATATCTAAACTTTTGATAATCATTAATGAAATATAATTTATATGTTACAACCGTTAAAATCCGAATGCTTTTTCACTTGGATATTACATTTCATTTCTTCTAATTTGGAATAAAGTCACACATAAACAATCGACATAAACGTAAATCAAACGTTACGTTTCATATGACAGCTAAACACACAGCACATAAAAGACCATGAACTAGGATGATATGTAATATATATATGGGCATATACAATAACATAAACGAGGAAGAACAAGGCACGGATGTAAACACGATAAATTTTAGGAGTAGCACATAATCATTTACGCGGAGACTTTTTGTTTCATTCAATGAATAAATATACATTTCCTGATTTCTCTATTTACTCGTGATAGGCATTTATTCAGCCATAGCAATTAATATGGTTAGCTGGTGGTTAGCTGGTGGTTTCATTGTGTGAAAGAATATACATTGTAATTGCACACAACAACATTTGCAAAGACGCTATAATTAAATGCTCTCAACACCAACATTTCCACGTGCAAATCTGTGATCAAAAAAGCAGGTTAATTCGGCGGGAAGCGATTCGTGCGGCGCTGTCTAACCTTGCCCATGTTAATGTAGACATTGTTTATCAGGAAAAAGCAAAAAGTGAGAAGGGGGAAAGGGAGAATGAGGGATATCACTTGTTAGAGGATAGGACACTGCATCATCGATACTGATTTTAGTTAATTCTATAGCTCACGTGCGGATGTGCACATGACCTACAGGAACGATACGTACCGGTATACCAGTAACTATATTTTTAAATAACTGGCACTGTTATACAGATGCCATCTTATCGCACAAGGCCGAAACATTAAACGTTTCATGATTTCTCTCGCACGTGTACTTGATAACAACCTTTCCATTGACGTATGTGCTGTGCAAGTGATTATATGATAAGCTTTCTGCGCATACAATGAAAGCCGTTCGTGTGGTGAACCAACTTTTGCAAGTTAGTACGGTAAATCCCTTTCCCCTGAGACTCTATCGAGTAAACACCGGGTACCCCTTTTTATCTCCTTACTTGTCGATTAGCCTTTGAACCATAGTTAATATATACTTTATTCTGAAGATCATCAACATTCCTTATGCTTTTCATAAATATGGTCACATGATTCAATAACCAAATGCATCTTTAAAGCACGGTGACACCAAAGTCCAAACGCACAGGTGCTTGCTCTTAAAAGGCAAGCGATTGTGTAGACTGACGATATTTTCGAATCGTATTTCAGTAACTATAACAAGGATCAAAGATCAAAGATCCAATATCCTGGGATTACGGCAAAACTAAAAGCATTGAAGGAAAAAAGCATTTGATCAGATTCCCTTATTAGCTTTCATACAGGATCAGCCGAGCTGTTCGAGACTGCGCATAACTTGTTTGTAAACTTATCAACAAACTCGTTATTCAGCAGACTTGTAACAATTTCGTGAACGGGTAAATACCATTACAAACATTGAAAGAGTCGGAATAGATTAATTCCTAAGCAGGTGAAGGAGAAAGACAATGAAAACGTAATAGTAATGAAATATATGTATATAAATTTGACATGTGTCTTGACCAGCAGGCAGAATTAGAATAAAGCAGCCAACCTTATCTTATTTAGAATGACACACGTTGTTAGTTTAGTCACACAAGTGTCTCGCTTTTGTCGGGTAAGGTTTGCCCTTGTACAATAAAAGTTGGCGTGTGTTAATTAAGAACCTTGTTTAGGAAATTCTAACATTAATCCGTTAACAGTTGCCCCATTTACTGTTTGATGAATATCGTCTAGTCCGAGTCTGGAGCAGTAAAAATATTCATATTATTAATACAAAAAGCATCTCTACGAAAATTATCTTACAACCCCCATCGTAACAAAAAGGCACGCATCATTATGCGAACATCGAATCGGATTATGCCATTCAAATTGCTGCGATATGAGCTGTTGAATATTATGACGTTTTTTGAAATGTTTGGGAGATATTGTATTCGATTAAAATCTGGACTTTGTGCTGTAGTTTTGCACTCTTTATTAGTTGCGTCTACAAATGAATGCTAAAGGTACACTTGGACTTTGTGCTAGAGAACGCGAGATTTATGCTATTAAAGTCTTTACTCTAGGCCATCTATCAAAGTACTTTTCTATAAATTTTCGAGAAATAATTCACGGTCGGTAACTATTGTAAAGAAAGCATCTTCGGTTGCTTGTTACTTAACTCGGTCAACTCAAACTGTTAAACTTCATTGTACATCCATAATAGCAGCAAGCAATGCCTTCAGAGCCCAAAAATTATAAGTTTCATCTGTTAATCAAACTCTTTTTATATTTGTATGCGTCTGGTACGCAACGGTAAGACCAACAATCTTGTCATAATTAGTTGTTCTTTCTACGAATCTGGTCGGGCATAGTTTGTTTGATTATTGTGCAGTCTTTAAATAAAGATCAGAGTAACGCAAACCGCTTCTAAGTATAAAAGTTACAGCATCTTTGTATCGATATAATTTAGACATATTAAAATTTGCGTTCTCGTAAACGGGGGTTTACAGTTACCTATCTGCAACAAAGCACGATATGTTCTAGACCGCCCCGCAAAAAAGGCACAGATTTTAACTAGCCGTTCTAACACAATTACGTGTAGTGTGTGCACTTAGTGGCTTGGAGAAATTTTTGTCACCATTGTTGATCTTGATATTAATGAATAACCCAGTTTTCTGCTGCCATTGTCAATGAGCCAATTCCGAGAGTGACATATAAGTATAACATGGCTTACTGAAGGTAATCTGCGCACATTCAAGGCAACAAAGCAGAGTCAGCAATTCCTTATAGACAAGACTGATCTCGTTAGTTTGGTAAGTCTGTTTTATTTTTATCCACTACTTTTTTTTCTGAAGCTCACAAGGATAGTGCGTACAATATGAATTTCGACCAAAGGCGGTCTACTTTGGGAAAGTGCTGCTGCATATAAACGAATTTGTCACAATACATTACTTGAGTGAACATTACGAAACTTGCACGAAATGATACATAAATACCGTAAGCGTTTCTTGTCGTTTCTTGTCGTTTTGCATTATTTAGTTACTTTATAACTGAAATTTACCCGAATTATATTTTAATTTAGAATACTATGTATCAATTATATCACAGATATTATAGGATACAAATTCACGAAATATTAAAAGTGCAAAATTCCTACGGACAGATAATTGTTTATTTATCATGATTCTCTATATTACATTACGCATGGAATGCCAAATTGTGAAAGCGAAGATTAGCGAAGAGGTAAGGATTCAACCACTGTTTATATGCATGGTGAGATAATATAAATAAATATAATGAGCATCGCGTATAAGCAATACTTGGCAAATTTGTAAATTTCAATTGATTTCATACATAAACACTCGAGTACGAATGCTATTCAAATTTTATTGTACGATATCAATGCCACTTATTACTTATGCCAGTACATCGTCCGGTTCAACATCTAAACACTGCTGCGTGCGCTATCGAGTCATAACCTTTCTTGTTTCCCAAAAAAGCGATTCCTGAAATTGCGCAAGCCCTATCATTATCATTATCCAGAACGAGAAAGTCAGACAAGAAAAGATTATTGATATTACACGCATATAGTAATTGGGAAACACGAACTTCAAGCACTTTTGCAATATTGATTTTACGTCTCAATAAAATTTTCTTTCTCAGTCTTCTACGTTCTGATTGTTACCGATATGATGAATCAGATAAGCGAGTAAAATCTTCTTCCGCAGTCAAGCAAATCCCATGATCAATCAATAGCACAGGTGTAGGGCGCGCAGTTGTTTTCATAATTCGCGTGTCAGGCGCAGAAAGCGTTCCTAATTTTCGTGTCAAAAGCAACGCCATAGTTAACTTAGAATTTAATTATTTTTAGAATAGGTTCGCATTTTCCGTGTCGCTAAAAATATATAAGCAACTTATGTCTATCATGTTGCTTAGTTCGCGTTGTTAGTAGTGCGATTACAGTCAACTCTGTTTATACCGAACTGATTGGCATAACTCTCTGTGTCCTTCCGGATCCGGCACGGTATATGGAAAGTTTATAAGAAACTCCGGATAAAACAAAGAATTTTTATATGAAACAAACGGTGCGCAAGAATCTGTCCGTGAGATTCCGGTACATACAGTACATTTCCGGTATAAACAGAGTTGACTGTATAACCTTTGAATTAGAAAGTTTACTTTTTTGATTGTCGAAATATTAATTA